AGCCACCTGACTCCCAGAAAACACTTGGGCAGCCGTGTGGAGCCAAGATGCAAATGAAGCAGAGGGAAAGGTGGAAGCGGACCTGCCAACGTCCTGGGAGAGGAGAAATTAATGGAGGAGACAGCGGAAGTGCGCTTTTGGAAAATGGACAGAGAAAAAAAGAGAGAAATGATGTATGGAGGGAGCACAGGGACTGAAGATCCCCAGAGAGCTAACAGAAACAAGGGGGGGAATATCTGGTTAAGGAGGATGTTTATTAATATTGCATTAGCATCAGGTTGATATATCAAATGCCTCAAATTTGACCTACTTGACATATTTAACCAACTCAAAATGGATCTTTGCAAACTCCAACTGTGGCTCACCAATCAGTGTAGGTGCAGAAAAATAAATGCAAAGTAAGTTTGTGATTTATGCGTGTTAAAATTTACACGAGAAGGCAGGGCTGTGAGCTATACAGGATCAAAGATCAGTTGTTATGCTCATGCCTTTGCTCGTGGTTTGATGCGTAGGCAATTTGTTGAATTTTTGTGAATGCACACCTCTTCAACTGTTTGTTAATGCAAATGTCTAATCAACCAATCATGTGGCAGCAATTCAATGCATGGTCAAAATAACCTGTCGGAGAGCAAATTGAGCAGCAGAATGGGGAAGAAAACTGATATATGTGACTTTGAATGTTGCATGGTTCTGCTGATGTACAGGGACGTTCACACAAAACCATCTCTAGAGTTTACAGAGACCGATTTGAAAAAGAGAAAATATCCAGTGAGTGACAGTTCAATGGATGAAAATACCTTACTCATGCTAGAGCTCTGAACATAACAGAAAGCAATGGTAACTCAAATAACACCTCATTATGACCACAGCCTGCAGAAGAGCATCTCTGAGTGCACCTCAAACCTTGAAGCAGATGGGCTACAGCAGCAGAAGACCACTCCTGTCAGCTAAGAAGAATCTGAAGCTGCTGTTCACACAAGTTCACCAAAGTTGGAGAATAGAAAATTGAAATAACCATTGCCTGGTGTGATGAGTCTTGATTTCTGCTCCAACATTCAGATGGTAGGTTCAGAATTTCATATAAACGACATGAAAACGTGGATCCATCCTTCCTTGGATGAGTGGTTCAGTCTGATCATGGAGGATATTCTCTAGGCACGCTCTGGACTCCGCACAAGCTGAGCATCATGACATGATAATGAGTTCACTGTATGACGACCCTCACTTGACCTCCAGTGACCTCCACGGTCACTCGTGACTTCAATCCAAAAGAGCATCTTTGGGATGTGGTGGAATGGGAATATCACATCATGGATGTGTAGCAACTGTGTGGCGCTATTCTATCAAATATGAATAAAAAACCTGTGAGGAATCTTTCAGTGAGCATTGGTAAATCTATGCCGTAAATAATTCTGAAGTCAAAAACCCAGCACCGGCAAGCTGTTACAAAAACCTTAACCTGCAGGGTTGAAAATAATCTCCCCGTTTCAACTGACACTGAACGAACGTGCAACATTTCATGATGTTAAATATCAAACGTCTACCCGAGAGCAGAGAAAGAGACAAGCAGCTGGAATAAGATGCCAGGACGAGTTAGGCTCTCCAGAGGACAGTCTGAAAGCTGTGCATGTTTCTAAGGATCCTTGCCTCAGCAAACTTAAAGGCAGTGTTTACCTTCATTCCCTCTGACTGCTCGCAGAAGGCAGGCAGCTGCTGAATGAAGCCAAGTAAATATTGGTAAGTGTTGGTGATATAAGGCGACATACTCCCCCAGAGATTTAGTCGCACTGGTGCTGAAGTCTGCGACTCTGCATAACCTGGACTTCTAACAAGGACTGCATGCAAATGTAGGGCAGAGATGTTACATTGTTCCCTTGAAAGTCTGTTAAAATCGCTGTGATTTGTTACTAAAAAGAACGTTGGCTTAAAAGGGGGCTGCGACAAGGACCAGAGGAAGACAAATATAGATTAATTTCAACTGTGTGCGTGAAAAGCCACTCTGTGAGAAACAAGGATGAAAATGCACAGCTGTAAATGAGCAAAGCAAGTCATCTTTAAGGCTTCCCTCTAGTCCAAACTAGTATACGTAAAACCTGTCTATATACTTTTGACCATCTAGTATGACCACATATCCGGAGGAAAAAACCCCAAAACATTCCATTTGCATTACTTCCTAAGATTTATGAGATTTTCACTCTGTGTGTTTATTTCTCACATACAAAGCACTATAAAATGTTTGCACGTCTGGTTCCTTGAATTAAGTGATACACCTAAACTGCAGCTCCAGACTTTTGTTCTTTTTGCCTAAAACAAAGACCGCAATGTCTCTGTGAAATACCTCAGCAGCTTCTAAATTACTGCAAGCCCAAATCTGTGAGAGGAGAACATGTACATTTTTTTGGTTTGTTTTTGTTTGGTTTGTTTGACCAAGCTTGTCAAATCCATCACATTTCAAGTACAATCAGATTTGTTTTGACTCTCACTGCCAAACTTTCTTTTCAGGCAGGTTGACGGGTTACCACAACTCTTCCCAGCAAACAAGCAACTTATGAATACATGTGGCTTTTGTTTGGAGGAACAACTTCTAATTAGATGGTGTTGGCAAAGAAGAAACAAAACTGCAGCAATATAAAGCTAGTTTGAGCCAATGGATGAAAACTGTAACTTGGGGAGATATTTTGTCTTTTAATAATATAAGTGTAAGGTTGTAGCAGGATGACTGCACTGAAGGAACTCTTAAAGTTAAACATTTCTCCTGCTGCACTTAGTCTGATATTCTGTTTTTTCTGTACAATGCCTACTTGCTTGCACTTATTTCTGCAACATGTCCTGATGAGTCACCAACGCCGAACCCTGTTTGTTTAAACAGCATTTGATAAACACTGTTAATTAATTTCAATTAATGTCATTAACATTAAATCCTGCCAGTTTGGCAGGTATAACCAGGCAAAAGGCCCTGGACCTAGCTGCACCAACTGTTTAATAAGCCTGAATTAAGAGAACTTTTGCACACAAAATTAAATCACTCCAACTATTTACGTAGAAACTGCCTGGTAAAAATGTGCTTAACTGAATCAGTTAATGCTAGCTGTTATCTAATAAACGTGAACCAACCCAACAATCTACCAAAACTACTGTTATTTCATTAATATTTAATCAAATTAGCATTAGCATTAACTCAACAACCTAAAATTAGCTAACACGTGGCCTATTTAGAGTAGCTAATAAAACTAATATATATACCCTGTATAGCAAACCACTGACAAAGCTAACATTTAAGTGCTAATATCTGATATTTTAAGATAAAGCTAGTTCAAGTGGCTAACTTAGGTTAGCAACTTGCTATTATAGTAACTAATATGCAACTTGTTTGGAGTGAGCCAACTCAACACTCTGATAAATCTAATGCAAGCCTGCAAACATAAGACTTATTTAAAAGTGTGCTAACTCAACCAACTGACATGTGTCACAAGCTAATAGTGGTAAGAACAGTAGGCTAAGCAACACTGCAAACAGACCTGGAGCACTGGTTTATTGAGTCATGTTTACAAAGCTTTTTTGCACTCATCCTAGCAATTTGAAACCAGATTGACGAGTGCAGGACAAGAAACAGTACGCTCACTGACCTGTCAATGACAAAGTAACCCTCTTCTTAAGCATGCCCTCTGTTCTGCTTTTTTACTCTAATTTGTGACCAATAATTACAAAATAATCATCATATCATATTAAATAATACGTAAATCCCATAAAGGAAAGTGGTTAGTCAGGCTCAAGAGGCCTGGGGCTGTTTTCCCATAGATTTCAACAATGGATTAGAAACCAGATGAGTCACACCCTGCTGGTTATTAGACAATGCAGATTCTTTTCACATCTTTTTTTAAATTTAACTTTATAATAAAAGGCTACAGTTCACTGTCAACCCTGTGGCCCTTTGAAATGGATCCTTCACTGCCTTACTGGTGTTCAAACTTCTTGGTATTTTTCAAATAATTAAATTTAGCAGCCAAATTCTTACATTTGAAAAAGCTGACAGACTGTCGCCTGCTGAAAGTGTCTGACACACTGATTACACTGAACTGCCTGTATTATTTTTTTATTTTTTTTGTTTAAAAAAAAAAGGGGGGGAGGACAGGTTATAAAGCAGTAAACGTTTAATTATTTGCGCAACAGGGAAATAAAACTGTGATAATAGTTCCAGATAATTAAGCTAAAGCCCAAAATTAGGTAGGAGCACAAACATCCTAAACGCTGCATGAAGTCTGGCAGCTGAAAAAATAAATAAATAAATGACAATGTCATAGGGAAGATTAAGACTGGGTTAGATCAACTTTTACATTTAGATTAGTGGTAATCAGAGTGCACAGTTTCGTGAAATGACCCTGTCTTCTTGCTGAAAAGGCACACAAGCGCTGCGTAAAGCACAACATGGATGGCCTGTGGCACAGCTGGGGCGCTTCACTTATTGTAGGTTGTTAAAAACCATTTACAGAATAAAATTCAGGCAGTGTTTGAGGACATCAGCGTTTAAACAGGAATGCTCGCAGTCTCAGTAAACACAGCGGGCAGATAAAGCTGAGCAGACCCAATTACCGAAGTGCATACTGGTAAGGGCAGTTTGATGAAGGCGCAGGGATCCTGATAACAACACAAAGGAAGTGCGATAAAGAAACAAAGAGGAAGGTAAATCCGCTCGTACAGGAACTTCTTGTGCTTTTGCAAAAGTGCACACTGCTAAAATACTCATTTTCCTAAAATAAGTACCTAAATAAAGTCACTATCATGCATTCCGTGTTGCGCGAATCACCGAGCACAATGCGCACGCAAAAGTGAGCAGACAAAGCCAAACAACGGGGATGCTGCTCCTACCTTTGCACGACAAAACAAAGCAATCCTCTCCCTCATGATAACTTGTTTCTTCCGTGTTTCGAACCCCTTAGACCAGGCTTCACTCACCAAATCACCATTTTAAGAGATAAGAGGAAGAGAGACACGGCGCTTACCTTTTGTTAGTTCCTCTGTCTGCCTGATGTATGACGGCGGATGTCTGCTCTCCACCGCTCCTCTGTAGATTTAAGCAGGGCACCACCAGCAGCAGCAGCAGCAGAAGAAGAGGTGGTTGCGAAATTGTTGGTACGCGCTTCGGCTTGTTTAGTGGGCGGCGTGGCTCTCCACTGTTTTCATCCCGTGTTTCCAACCAGCCCTCCCACTCCTTGCACTCACGCTGTACTCGCTCAGCCTCCTTCTCAAAGCGGATACGCCCTCTCACTGTCAGGGGAAGACAAAATAATGTGTATAAATAAATACATCACAGGCTGCAGGTATCAGAGTAAAACAGGCTGCGCTGCGATGTGATGCGGGTCCTGCTGCACTCCCGAGCTCCTCTGGGGCTCTAACTGCTCTGCAAAAGGCATGTGCGGTTTTAAAGTGGAAACAGATGCCCGGAGGAGGAGGAGGGGTACAGTCTGTCCTTTTTGACAAGTGCCATTCAGAAAAGCTGGGGCATGTCTACACCCCACGCAACCACCCCCCAGCTCCTTTCACGCCTTATTATATCAATTAATCCGAACCCTAGATACACAAAAGCCCACGATGTTTGACCCAGTTTCACCTCTGGTCTCCAGTCCAGTCCAGTCACATAGACTTATTTGTGCCCCCTTTTAAGCCCCAACAACCCCCGTGGTTACCCAAGTTCCTTTAACTTGGTTGTCCTACTTTTTAAGTGGCCTCCATTTTACATTTTAAGTGCCTGCCCATTCACGCAGTCATTAATTTTAAATGGTAAATGGTCTGTATGTGTATAGCGCTTTTACTAGGGACCTCAAAGTGCTTTACACACCCAGTCATCCACCCATTCACACACTGGTGGAGGCAAGCTAAGTTAAGTTAGGCAATTTTAAGCTGAATCTCCTCCTATATCCATTTCTTCCTAAAGGCTGTTCCCACTTGCATGCCATTTCCATGTATAGCTCCAGCAGGCGGCCTCCTCCAACAACAAGGAAGCTCCGGTCGTTGTCACGCCATATAAGGGCGGCTGTGAAATGTCATAAGCCAGTGAACCTCAACTATAAAAACACTGCCAGCTGTAGTGGCTGACATTCAACTACAAACTATGGATCTACCACCCACCTAAACACCAGGGCTGTTTTGACTGAGCATCCATGATCCCAGGGTTTTGTGGTTCAGATTCTTGTTTGTCATTATGATTTTTTTATTCTTGATTCCTTTTCATGATAATTCTCTTCATGCACTGTAGGTTTTGGTCAAAGTGGTATTTTTAGTTCCCTCAGTGTTTCCCCGCCTGAATCATCTTGTCTGTGTGATCAGTATTTCTCTTTTACTTTCTTCCTGCTTCACTTTGAACGTTTAGTTTCTTTCCATGTCCTGCTTTAGTTC